TTATATGTTTGTTTGTTTGCTTGTTTGTGGGTTGACGTTATTAGCAGATTCCGAGGTGGTGAACATACAATGCCATGTAATCAAAACTCAGTCTCACTTACAACGATTATTATACTTACTGGAACATTTCTAGCTTGGCTCCCGAAATACCCCAAAGGGTGAGGTGAGGTGAAATTTGAGAATATTTCGTTCATATGACGACGTGCATGCGTCTGTATGTGTATGTGTGGCTGCTTGTCCAGACTTAAGCTGGTTTTATAGTGCTAGCCCAATGAGATACCATGCCGCAGTGAAGCATGACACATTATACTGACTCCGAGCCGACCAGTCCTTTTTGTACCCATTAATGCCGAGCGCCAGGCAGGGACCACCAAGTACCATATTTTAACGTCTTTTGGTATGACGCGGTCGGGGATCGAACCCGCGACCTTCCGTTCTCCGGGCGGACGCTCTAACCACTACACAACGGAGGCGGTCATACCCCAAAGGGTGTGATCTAGAGTTGGGGTATTGAACTATATAGATATATTTATTTATATTGGAGCTATAAAAAGTGGCACTATACATTGTAGGGTGTTTTAAGCATCTTTTATCACGTACAGTTGTATGCAAATATAAGACATATCTGGTGGCCGTGGGGTAGTCTAGTGGTTAAAGCGTTCGCTCGTCACGCCGAAGACCGGGTTCGATTCCCCCAGTGTGTGAAGCCCATTTCTGGTGTACCTTGCCGTGGTATTGCTGGAATATTTATAAAAGCATCGAAAAAGCAAACTCACTCACTAACTCACTAATGCACATCTGTCTACATTGTCCATAACAGCTGTGACAGAAATTGTAATATATGGACTGCATAATTCCGTGAGTCAGAGTATACCGTATCAGACCATATACATTACTCGTATGATAGAATCCACCTATATTTCATTTCGGTAATTGGATTTTTTATCTCAACTGTCATGGGATATATCTGTTGTCAGAATAACGGTATCACATTGGGCTCCTGGATTGCTCATTTAAGCAGACGCTAGAACTGGTACAACGTATCTTCACAGAGCTCCAGATAAGATTTAGCTCATGTGGGTACTGTATCTACTGTGTTTTTTTTTGGAGTGGGTATTATGAATGTTGAGTGGGTATTTCATTTTCCGTTACCCACTGCTTTCAAATATGTGGGTATGCATTGATTTTACTCACCTAAGCATTATGTCATTGAATGTTTACTAAGCAGGTATGTTCTGCCTTATGTCATACTTAATCAAAGCAAACTTAAATATAATGGAAATGATTTCATAAAAAATAACTCATCCTGTACTGACAGTACAACACTATTCCTGTACTAACAGTACAACTTGATAGCAATCGATGTCTTTTTCATTACGCAAGCGATTTTCATAAATATATTCCGTACGCATTTGTTATAAACTGTTTGCGTATCTAACATTTTAAATGCGTAATTGGTACGCAACGAAGATTTTTCATTGTGTAATTGGAAATTTTGTATGCGTATTTTACCCGGATACGCAGCTTATCTGGGCCTCTGAGTCTTCGACAACGAAGTGTTACCGTTTGCTTGACCACAACAGGCGGTCTGTTTCGCCGACGGTAACTTTAATTTAGCCCAGGAACTGAAAACCTTTCATGTCATAATTATGAGGACTGTCTTAATAAACAAAACTATATTAGTTTCCTGAATTTGACCAGCCTTAATGTTATTGTATTGGTCGAATGTTGTTGCATTATTATGTTTTACAAATTAAAGAATAGTAATAATAATAGTCCACTTGTAACGCGCTGAATCCATGCACAGCACATGCTCTAAGCGCCCATGTCCGAGATGAGATGACAGAGTGAGTGAGTGAGTGAGTGAGTTTAGTTTTACGCCACACTCAGCAATATTCCAGCTATATGGCGGCGGTCTGTAAATAATCGAGTCTGGACCAGACAATCCAGTGATCAACAGCATGAGCATCGATCTGCGCAATTGGTAACCGATGCCATTTGTCAACCAAGTCAGCGAGCCTGACCACCCGATCCCGTTAGTGGCCTCTTACGACAAGCATAGTCGCCTTTTGTAGCAAGCATGGGTTGCTGAAGACCTATTCTACCCCGGATCTTCACGGGTCGAGATGACAGAAGTTACACAGAGAAGGCAAGTCTGAACAGGAAGGTTTTGAGTTGGATCTTAAACGACGACAATGATTTACAGTCTTTCAGGTACTGGGGCCAGAGTTCCAGACTTTAGTGGCTGAATTTGCAAATGTTCTCTCCCCATAGTAAGCAGCAGAGAGAGCATTGCTATTACTATTATTATTATCATTATGAAGGAGTTTCTCCCCTCCTCCACACAAAATATAACTACGCTTGTATTTGCCTTGCCGACAAAGGCACGCACGAGAACACACACACATTTAGTTCACATACATTCATGTATCATACATAGAATTATTAATTTATGACAAGTGGAATATCTGTCTCATTTAAATGACTCACAGCTATCACATCTGATATGTATAGGATATTAAATTACATAGACACACTCCCGCTGTTTATCTATAGAAGATCTACACCTAGTGATGCTATGCAAAAGTTGTACAAGTCATATACAGTCATGTAATATAAGCGTTTTACAGGAGACCGACATATCCAATTATGCCATGTAAGAGCTGTATAGAAGACCGACATATCCAATTATACCATGTAAGTGCTGTACAGAAGATCGACATATCCACTTATACCATGTAACAGCTGTACAGAAGACCGATATATCCACTTGTACCATCAATGAGTGCTGTATAGAAGACCGACATATCCACTTATACCATGTAAGTGCTGTACAGAAGACCGACATATCCAGTAAGAGCTGTACAGAAGACCGACATATCCAGTTATTATCATGTAAGAGCTGTACAGAAGACCGTCATATCCACTTATTCAATGTAACAGCTGTATAGAAGACTCATATCCACTTATACCATGTAAGTGCTGTACAGAAGACCGTCATATCCACTTATACCATGTAAGAGCTGTACAGAAGACCGATATATCCACTTATACCATCTAAGTGCTGTACAGAAGACCGATATATCCACTTATGCCATGTAAGTGCTGTACAGAAGACCGATATATCAACTTATACCATGTAAGTGCTGTACAGAAGACCGATATATCCACTTGTACCATGTAAGTGCTGTACAGAAGACCGACGTATCGAGTTATTATCTGTAAGAGCTGTACAGAAGACAGTCATATCCGGTAGTTATTATCTGTACAAAGAACTGTATGCAGTTATTCAGAAGACAGTCATATCCAGTTATTCAATGTATATCCCACTACTATGTACAGCTGTATAGAAGACTCCGTCATATCTAGTTATTCAATGTAAGAGCTGTACTGAAGACCGACATATCCGGTTATTATCCGTAAGAGTTGTATAGAAGACAGTCATATCCAGTTATTCAATGTAAGAGCCGTATAGAAGATCGTAATATCCAGTTGTACTATATAAGAGCTGCACAGAAGACCGTCATATCCCACTATACTATGTAAGAACTGTACAGATGGAATCCTAGCCAGCCCAGATCAATGAATTGTCCATGGCATACTAACCGTGCCTTCACGAGATGATTGAGTGTTCAAACAAAACACATCAACCCAACAGTAGACTGACGGTAGGTTGTTACGGTGATCACCGAACATCTCCGGAATCACGCGATCATTGACCCACAATCACATGCACTCAGAATATACAAGCATGATATCCCAACCTCACTAAAATATCCCCGTGTTTTCGTCATGCTCTTTACCCCCGTGACTGGGGTGGCACGCAACGGTGAGGCCCAACCCTACTCTCAGATCCGGTTTGATTGCCGTAGGGGAGAGCGACTCAGCTCGACCCGCACTAACTTCATCCTTTCACGGTAATTGTATACGGTAAGTCGTGTTGGTTTATCACGGCATGTAGAAAAGCCGCAAACCAAACACACGTTACAAGACATCTGTTTGAGGCCGAACTCCCACGAACTGGAAGCACGTCGTCGTCGTCGTCATTATCATCATCATCGTCGTCGTCGTCAAAATCATTAACGCCTTCTTAAATTATCGACGCCCTAATCATCATCATCGTCGTCGTCATCATCATCATCATCATCATCACCATCACCATCATCATCATCATCACCATCCCAGAATCAGTATCATCATTATCACCATCACCACCACCATCATCATAATCACCGTCAAAATCATTATCGCCTTCTTAATTATCATCGCCGCCCTAATAATCATCATCGTCATCATCATTATTATAATCGCCGTCCAAATCGTCGTCGTCATCATCATAGCCGTCCTAATAATCATCATCATCGTTATCATCTCCACCTCCATCATCATCATCACAATCGCCCTCGTGAACATCATCAGTATGCAAATCATCTCAATCATCATCCCCATCACTAAACCTGATCATCATCCCCGTGGCGCTATTGGAACGGTAGTCATACCACATAACACTGCATAAAACATCCTCAAAGCGAATCTGCTGGTACATCGTCGGTGCTGTATACATGCTACTATGTCGTCACCGTCAATACCCAGCCGAGACCCTCTCTATCCCCGCTCCCCATGCACAGAGGGGGGTGAGGGGAGGAGGGGCGGGCGGTGTCAGTTACCATCTCTACGTAAACACGATAAGACGAAAGGCTAGCACCCAAACATTAAGTTGAGACAGAAATTTGATCCGGTCACGACCCAACACTGAACATAAACTAACTCCGGAGCTAAGGACGTATACAACCACATGGGTTTATTAAATACAATGATTTTGTGACAGTAAGATGGTAAAACTTACCCTGCACCGTTCCCCTCGTGGTAAGCCTTTCCATTAACCACGTGTGTAATCACAGACACGTTGGGCAAAACCAACTCTCTTAATACACCTACCACCCAATGTACAAAGATACACAATACATCCCAAACCCATCTTAATCAAGTGATATACTTACACGCTAGTGTTCCACTCCGAATATCCAACAGTGCCCCATCAGTGAGTTCCACACTGTCGTCTATAACATACAAGTATTGACATTCCGAAGTTACCGAGTCGCTCTCTGCCGCGGACTGTTCAACGTCCTCGTGAGGCGGCGACTGGCCCACCACAGCGCTCGATCCACATTGGCAGTTGCGGAGTTGTACAGCGCGTTCTGTGTGTGAGCGGAGGAGGAAGCAATCGAATTTCAATAAGAATAACCTATACTGCACACAATAGATCGATGTTTTGACATCGTTCTGAAGGAATCACGCGTTTTGGCCTTATTACTTCCTGTTTGAGCCCGCTTGATGTTCAGTGTAAGAAGTCAAGAGTATCATGTGACCGAGATGTGAGAGTTTAGCTCAATAGTCCGTGTCTTTATATATGGAAATACGCAGATTCGGCCTAGTGGGTTTTGTAGTGGGTTTCCCTGCTTATCCACAAATTCACGGTCCTGGGCTGTGTATGAATGGATCGCAGTGTGGTGGCTGTTCTACTCATTAGAACCCCAGGACGTGTTCAGCCGTGTTCGCACCTGCAGTCTCACCTTAGGCAAGTGAGTGTGTTCAAAATTGCATCTGTTCACCCAGCAGAAAATGGGTACCCGGTGGGATCAGTCATGTGACTATTAACCTTGTAGCGCCTCACAGGCAGCTAGGGTTGTCCGGGGTAATAATAATCATATTGTACTGAGCTTTGATTGTGAGTGAGTGAGTGAGTGAGTGAGTGAATGAGTGAGTGAATTTAGATTTACGCCGCTTCTAGCAATACAATTGATTGTTAGCACTATGATCATTCTTCTAGTGAATGGAGTTTAACATATTATATATGCACGTATTATTACCTACCGCCTCATACCCCACCCTGGTTCGACCGCCTCCGTGGTGTAGTGGTTAGAGCGTCCTCCCGGAGAGCGGAAGGTCGCGGTTTGATCCCCGACCGCGTCATACCAAAAGACGTTAAAATATGGTACTTGTTGGTCCCTGCCTGGCGCTCGGCATTAATGGGTACAACAAGGACTGGTCGGCTCGGAGTCAGTATAATGTGTCTGAGTGGGGTATTCATGCTTCACTGCGGCATGGTATCTCAGTGGGCTAGCACTATAAAACCAGCTTAAGTCTGGGCTAGTACAAGCAGCCGCACCTACACACACACATGCATGAACGTCGTCATATGAACGAAATATTCTCAAGAACGAGGTTAAACCCAATTTCACCTCACCTTCACCCCACCCTGGTTCTATCCAAACCGTGAAGATAAACTTAAGAATTGATCTTCAGCAACCCATACTTGTAAGAGGCGACTAACGGGATCGAGTGATCAGACTCGCTGACTTGGTTGACACATGACATCGTGTCCCAATTGCGTACATCGATGCCCATGCTGTTGATCACTGGATTGTCTGGTCCAGACTCGATTATTTACAGACCGCGGCCATATAGCTGGAATATTGCTGAGTGCGGCGTCAAACAACATACAAACACAACAAGGTTCTATCCACTTGGGAAACTCTTCTATACCTTTCTCGACACACAATGCCTGGTAGTTTCTAACCTAGTGCACCGCTGTTACACGGTGCAATCAGTTATGAAGACAGCTACAAAGGCTCTCCCAGAAGGTCACACATCTACAGTTATATAAACAATGCTTAATATTCCATCATCACGTTAGACGTCGTCAGGGTTCTGTGTTTTGTCCAAGTGCGTTGTGGTGCTACGGGTTGGTAAACAATCTGTTTCCTTTAGATAGCCATCTCTAAACAGAAGCATTGTGCTAAATAATTCACTGAGTGTTGAGAGCTGATCGATAGGTGCATAAGGGACGTAGAGCTACACGGGTCGGGTACTTAGAACCAAGTATGTCTTCATGTCTGGTAATTGTGTATATGTGTAATGAAATCAAGTGTATGTAAATATTATGGACTGAAATCATGTGTATGTGAAATATTGCGGACTGATATCTTGTGTATGTAAATATTGCGGACTGATATCTTGTGAATGTAAATATTGCGGACTGATATCTTGTGTGTGTAAATATTGTGGACTGATATCTTGTGTATGTAAATATTGTGGACTGATATCTTGTGTATGTAAATATTGTGGACTGATATCTTGTGTATGTAAATATTGTGGACTGATATCTTGTGTATGTAAATATTGCGGACTGATATATCTTGTAAATATTGTGGACTGATATCTGTCTATGTAAATATGTAAATATTGTGGACTGATATCTTGTGTATGTAAATATTGTGGACTGATATAATGTCAATGTAAATATTGTGGACTGATATAATGTCTATGTAAATATTGTGGACAGTTATCTTGTGAATGTAAATATTGCGGACTGATATTGTGTATGTAAATACTGATATCTTGTGTATGTAAATACTGTGGACTGATATCTTGTGTATGTAAATATTGTGGACTGATATCTTGTGTATGTAAATATTGCGGACTTGATATAATGTGTATGTAAATATTGTGTGTGTGATTGTGGACTGATATTGTGTATGTAAATATTGTGGACTGATATCTTGTGTATGTAAATATTGCGGACTGATATCTTGTGTATGTGAAATATTGTGGACTGATATCTTGTGTATGTAAATATTGTGGACTGATATCTTGTGTATGTAAATATTGTGGACAGATATCTTGTGTATGTGAAATATTGTGGACTGATATCTTGTGTATGTAAATATTGTGGACTGATATAATGTCAATGTAAATATTGTGGACTGATATAATGTCTATGTAAATATTGTGGACAATTATCTTGTTGTGGACAGATATCTTGTGTATGTAAACTTGTGTATAATGTGTATGTAAATATTGTGGACTGATATCTTGTGTATGTAAATATTGTGGACTGATATCTTGTGTATGTAAATATTGTGGACTGATATCTTGTGTATGTAAATATTGTGGACTGATATCTTGTGTATGTAAATATTGTGGACTGATATCTTGTAATCTTATGTATGTAAATATTGTGGACTGATATCTTGTGTATGTAAATATTGTGGACTGATATCTTGTGTATGTAAATATTGTGGACTGATATCTTGTGTATGTAAATATTGTGGACTGATGTAAATGTGTGGATATTGATATATAATGTGTATGTAAATATTGTGGACTGATATCTTGTGTATGTAAATATTGTGGACTGATATAATGTGTATGTAAATATTGTGGACTGATATCTTGTGTATGTAAATATTGTGGACTGATATATGTAAATATTGTGGACTGATATCTTGTGTATGTAAATATTGTGGACTGATATCTTGTATGTAAATATTGTGGACTGATATATTATGTATGTAAATATTGTGGACTGATATCTTGTGTATGTAAATATTGTGGACTGATATAATGTCAATGTAAATATTGTGGACTGATATAATGTCAATGTAAATATTGTGGACAGATATCTTGTGAATGTAAATATTGTGGACTGATATAATGTGTATGTAAATATTGTGGACTGATATCTTGTGTATGTAAATATTGCGGACTGATATAATATGTATGTAAATATTGTGGACTGATATCTTGTGTATGTAAATATTGCGGACTGATATAATGTCAATGTAAATATTGTGGACTGATATAATGTCTATCTAAATATTGTGGACTGATATCTTGTGTATATCAATATTGTGGACTGATACCATGTGTATGTAAATATTGCGGACTGATATAATGTGTAAATGTAAATATTGTGGACTTGTGTATGTAATATTGTGGACTGATATCTTGTGTATGTAAATATTGTGGACTGATATCTTGTGTATGTAAATATTGTGGACTGATATCTTGTGTATGTAAATATTGTGGACTGATATCTTGTGTATGTAAATATTGCGGACTGATATAATATGTATGTAAATGTTGTGGACTTGTGTATGTAATATTTTGGACTGATATCTTGTGTATGTAAATATTGTGGACTGATATCTTGTGAATGTAAATATTGTGGACTGATATAATATGTATGTAAATGTTGTGGACTTGTGTATGTAATATTGTGGACTGATATCTTGTGTATGTAAATATTGTGGACTGATATCTTGTGAATGTAAATATTGTGGACTGATATCTTGTGAATGTAAATATTGTGGACTGATATCTTGTGTGTAAATATTGTGGACTGATATCTTGTGAATGTAAATATTGTGGACTGTGTATGTAAATATTGTACTGATATCTTGTGAATGTAAATATTGTGGACTGATATCTTGTGTATGTAAATATTGTGGACTGATATCTTGTGTATGTAAATATTGTGGACTGATAGCTTGTGTATGTCAATATTGTGGACTGATTAATATTTTGTGGACGTTTTTTAGATGTACATATTGTGAACTGATATCTTGTGAAGGTGTATTTCGCGTACGTTTTTAATAAGTTTAATAAGTCCGTTTAGTTTTTACTGTTTTATTTATAACGTTTATACTTCAAAAACGTCCCCCCGTGAGCGCATATATTAGACATAGGTGTATGAATGTATAGATTGTGACCGCACATATAACTGATATCACCGACAACTCGTAAACGAACACTATTAAGATCTAACACAAGAGAACAACACTGTCAATAATATCTGTGTTCCAAGTTCAACACCCCGTGGTGCAATGTGGTTGACACATACGCTCAGTGGTCGTCAACCCGCGGTGAATTATGAGATAATAACTCCCAGGGTAAACATTATCATGGATAAATAATAACTATGAAGTCAGATTAATGTGTCATATCTTTCTCTTTAACATTCTTGTTTAGGAGACAGAGAGACAAGATGTCGCAATCCTGGCTAGGAGACCCAGCTTCTCAGGGAAATAATTCTCAATAATTTGGATTTAGTTGTGGCTTGGTTTGTCTTGACGCTTTTTACGACAACGGAGTTGCAGACCCGGTGTGTCAGACATATTGGTATGCTCAATCCATTCAGACAGACCAGGTGTGTCAGACATACTGGTATGCTCAATCCATTCAGACAGACCCGGTGTGTCAGACATACTGGTATGCTCAATCCATTCAGACAGACCAGTGTGTCAGACATACTGGTATGCTCAATCCATTCAGACAGACCCGGTGTGTCAGACATACTGGTATGCTCAATCCATTCAGACAGACCCGGTGTGTCAGA